CCTGCCTGCCCTCCAACACAAAAGACTTATCTTTGGTTACTAACCTGGAATTGTAAGTAACCAAACAACCTGGTTAGTAACAAAACAGCTAACAAACTGGTTACCAGAAAGCATCACAGCGCCTGTATCCACCACAATCATCACCACAGAAACATTAGAAAGAATATTCTCAGTGTCAGGGTAGTTTTAATAAATGGAATGCATTAATTCTTAAACTGCGCAACATTTCAAATTCATATGATGTGTTGAGTAACTGATGCAAAAGTGTGCACCATTTCATATGACGTGTTGGAGTACTACGCAAGATTTAAACGGCCAGCGGATACACGGGGTTCACATCACTTTCCTCAGGGCTTTTGTAAACAGACACCATTTAACCCTTTAACTGCGCAACACGCCTGCAGGCCCACATCTGGGATGCGCTACACGCCTCCTGGTATTTGTATTTTTCACGTTCCATTCAAAATTCCTGCAGCTACATGGGGTTCACATCAGCTTCCTCAGGGCTCATGTAAACAGATGCCATCTTCAAAAAAAATCTTGGTCCACATTTCCGGGTGCGAGTCTCTCAGTACTGAGAGAGCAACCAAGGCCGGCGCACGCAGCATGAGCTCACAGCACTGCTGTTCAGCTTGTGACCACAACATCGCCTAATAATGTCAAAATATATATATAACTTGTATTATTTAGCAATGATAGTATTACAGAAGAGCCTGAGTGTCATAATGACCATGTACAATGTTCAAATATCAGTGATTCAATGCTCTTTGCAATGTTCACAGCGCTAGCCACAGCACCACAGCATTATTTCGTCCATCTAGGAATCTTCAAATGACTTCTTAGGTTCCTTTACAAAATAAACTTGGTCAATTATGTATTTACAGGATTTAGTGACCAGTATTGTGATAACAACAGGATTGTGGTGATAATAAGCACTGTGCGTAGTATTGTGGGAGGGGGGACTTGAGGTGAGGGAGCGAGGGAGAGAATCGAGGTAGCCTTACTGTGTGTGTGGTAGCCACTCTTGTTTTGCTTATCATACTAGCTTAGTGGTTCGCTATGGTGAACACATATGTACATGGGTATATACAATGTGTGTACTCACCTAATTGTGCTTGCGGGGGTTGAGCTTTGGCTCTTTGGTCCCGCCTCTCAACTGTCAATCAACTGGTGTACAGATTCCTGAGCCTACTGGGCTCTATCATATCTACATTTGAAACTGTGTATGGAGTCAGCCTCCACCACATCACTTCCTAAGATATATATATCTTGTGTATATACCCATGTACATATGTGCGTAGTATTGTGGGAGGAGGAATTGTGGTGAGGGAGCAAGGAAGAGAATCGAGGTAGCCTCACTGTGTGTGGCAGCCACTCTTGTTTTGCTCATCAAACGAGCTTAGTGGTTTGCTATGGTGAACACATTTGTACATGGGTATATACAATATGTGTATATAGTGTAATAACAGCAACAGGAGTATGTTGGGAGGAGCAATTTTGGTGAGGGAGGTCACATAATCGTAGCATCGTCTGCTGGCTGCTGTGTGATTTCTCATGCAGTGTATAAATAAATAAAATAAATAAATGTTTATTCAGGAAAGGTACATACATACAAGAGATTTTTACAAAAATTGCTAGGTTTATAGATAGAGCTATAAAGCGTTTCGGGCAGGAAAAACATTAAAGACTAAAACTTAATACTAATTGAGTTTAAAGTATAAAATGTTTTGAGAACAAATAAAAATAAGAAAGGGGGGGAACAAGGCTGAAAAAGCAGCACAAATATAATTAGGTCGACAAACAGCGGTGTTAAAAAAAAAAAAAAAAAAAAAAAAAGACATGGGTTGACAATACAGGGGTAAGGTAGGTTACAGGGAATTTATTAGGTAGTGCTTCATTTTTATCTTAAATTGGTTGAGAGAGGTACAGTCTTTAACATGATTGGGAAGGTCATTCCACATTCTGGGTCCCTTGATTTGTAGAGCATTTCTAGTTTGATTAAGTCGTACTCTTGGAATATCAAAACTGTATTTGTTTCTGGTGTGGTGCTCATGGGTTCTGTTACAACCTTCAATGAAGCTTTTGAGGTCAGGATTGGCATTACAGTTCAGCATTTTATATATGTATAATACACATGAGAGAATGTGCAGTGACTTAATGTCTAACATATTCCATACTGGCCACCATGTATGGTGGCCACTGTAAAGTTTGGACACAATACAGGCTTACTTGCATAGTTCTGGCGAGTAAAACATGTAGATAGGTATACATAACATGTGTAAATAGTGTAATACAAACAATAACAGTATGGTGGGAGGAGCAATGTTGGCGAGTAAGATGTTGGAGGAATGAGGGAGAGACTGGATGTTGGAGGAGTGAGGGTGTGGCAGCTGACACTCGCGGAGTTGAGTGTGTTGATGGTGAATGTATATAGTGTGTAGTGTGTAAATAGACTGTATATATACATAAATTAGCATGATACAATGGAAATATGTGCCGGATATGTGTATACATGTGTCATGCACGTAACACAGTGTAATATAGTGTATAATATAATATCATTATACATAGGATTGGCACATAAAAGCAAATAAAATGTATTTGGAACTGTGCACAGAAAATGAACAAAAATATATTCGCGGCAACTCGCACATCCTACCCCGGGTACCCTACCAGCCCCGGGGGCGTACGCCACAGACAACCAGGGAATGATGACGTCAAGCACGAACTTACGGACCCCATAGCAGCCAAAGTACGTACAATTCCGACCTTCTGTTACTATACCCATACTCAGGGAAGGACACTTTCAAAACAAAAATGAAATTTTTCCAGATAATTTATTTCCTGCGCAATGGGGGGTGTCATATTTGGAGGCCGCGCAGTTAAGGAGTTAAAAAAAAAATCGTGGGCAACATTCCTGGGTGTTAAGGCCTCAGTATTGAGTAAGCCACCAAGGCTGGCACACACAGAAAGAGCTCACAGCATTGCCGTTCAGCTTGTGACCACAGCATCACCTAAAATGTAAAAAATATATGTAACTGGTGTTATTTAGCAATGATAGTATTACAGAAGATCCCAGACTTGATAAAAATGACCAGGAATCTGATAATAGCAGGATTGTTGTGATAATTTACGCTGTGCTGTGGGAGTTGTAATGTTGAGGGAGGGAGGGCTGTAGCATCGTCTGCTGAATCTGTGTGGCCACCTGTTGCTGTCTGCACTTACTATACCAACTTATTGGTTCGCTATGGTGAACAAAACATGCAGATATTTATATATAACGTCTGTATATAGTGAATAAAAGCAAATGGGAGGAGGAGGAGGTTGGCGAGTGAGGTATTGTTGAGGGAGGGAGTGATGGCGAGTGGCTGGCTGGCGTGTGGTGGCCACGCCTTGTTGCTTTTGACTCACCATATCAACTTAGTGGTTCATTATGGTGAACAAAACATGCAGATACTTATATATAATGTGTGCATATAGTGTAATAACCACAAAACTATTTGTTTATTGTTATATGAACATAATAATTGAATCACTAATATGAACACTAATTTTGAGTATAGTGATGATTCACACATTTTATTATATAAATATATCACACTACACACTATTGAATAATATTACTATAAAAAACTAAGAAAAAAATCAATCAGAGACATTGAAATAATTGGGTAATATCTTTGTGGAAACTCCTGCCTGACAGCTGGGGTGGACCAGACCGCCTCCAGTGCTTGCTGTCAACGCCTCTTTTTTGCCAGACTTCCCCACCCTATTGCGGCCAAAATATGCCACTTACGATTTTTGTATTATTTTTCCCGTGATCAGAGAACACAAATGAACACTTATAAATCTAAATAAATTTTTTTTGTGCCTGTGGGGTGTTGAAGGCCAAATAGCCCAGAGCAGCTTAAGGGTTAAGCAGTGATGTGGTGGAGTCAAACTCCATACACAGTTTAAAATGCAGATATGATAGAACCCATTAGGCTCAGAATCTGTACACCGGTTGATTGGCAGTTGAGAGGTGGGACCAAAGAGCCAGAGCTAAACCCCCACAAGCACAACTAGGTAAGTACAGAGCACCAGAGCTCCAGCATCCACCACACTGGTCCCCAGAGAGCACCACAGCTCCAACATCCACCACACTGGTCCCCAGAGAGCACCACAGCTCCAACATCCACCACACTGGTCCCCAGAGAGCACCACAGCTCCAACATCCACCACACTGGTCACCAGAGAGCACCACAGCTCCAACATCCACCACACTGGTCACCAGAGAGCACCACAGCTCCAGCATCCACCACACTGGTCCCCAGAGAGCACCACAGCTCCAACATCCACCACACTGGTCCCCAGAGAGCACCACAGCTCCAACATCCACCACACTGGTCCCCAGAGAGCACCACAGCTCCAACATCCACCACACTGGTCCCCAGAGAGCACCACAGCTCCAACATCCACCACACTGGTCCCCAGAGAGCACCACAGCTCCAACATCCACCACACTGGTCACCAGAGAGCACCACAGCTCCAACATCCACCACACTGGTCACCAGAGAGCACCACAGCTCCAGCATCCACCACACTGGTCCCCAGAGAGCACCACAGCTCCAACATCCACCACACTGGTCCCCAGAGAGCACCACAGTTCCAGCATCCACCACACTGGTCCCATTAACCATATTATCTCTCCACCCTATACGACACTACACCATAGATCAAACTACACCACCACCAACATATAAAACAGTGCACTAAGCCAGGAGAAGAGCGGAGTAGTGAGGTATACTTGTCCCCTAGAGCGTCCTTCCTGCTGCCCAGCGACCACCACCGCCGCCGCCACTCACGCCCTCCACCCCATCAATAACACCTCCCTAAATACTACCTATAACATGCAAAAAGCGATACAACTCGTGTCCTGTTATTACGAGGTTTACAGTGTAGTAGAGTCACGTTATAACAGAGTTGTTAGTGTTGTTAAGCGGGCAGGAGGGCGGCCTCACCTGCTTCTTACACTCGGGACACTTCTTATTCACTCCCTTGCTCACACCTTTTGGAGGCATGACGGAATAACACCCACAGTTTTCAGAAAAAAATTCTTTGCTTTTGACAAAGTTGGCCAGACTGGCGTGTCGTGGTCAAGTAGATGCAAATGAGGCTCTGGGAATCATGGGGATTGAGTGTATGAAGAGGGTAATTATGCGTAACAAAGAGCTGCAACGCTCCACGTCTTAATACTCCATGATCAACGCACCGATTGTTTACAGATTGTCCGATTCTAATGATGTGCAACAAATTGATTTTATCATAACGTATTAATATATTATTTGAAAAATTAGTCAGATCTTCCTTCTGAGCTTGCATCTGTGATTGTTATTTGTGTTTTTACGTGTTTTATATTATTACTATTTATATTACTTGAATAATATGCATATGATTAAAAAGGCGACATCCGAACAGAGTCCGATTGAATTATGAATTATTTTGAATTCCTATGTGGAGCAATAAATTCCCCTGTGTCCCATAGGTCACCTTTATATATTTATATACCTATATTGAAGACATGAAATTAAAGTATAAATAAGCAAATATATTGTTATAGCTCATTGCAGACAATTAAATCAAATATTTCAGTTTAAGGCAGCATATACTTGCGGGTGGAGAGTGAGCGAGGGTATCACCTGCCTCTGCTGGCTTATCATGTCCCGCCCTACTCCTCCTCCTCCTCACACTAGTAGTCATTACTCATATTACAAACATGAATAGTATTGATAAATACTATACCAACGTGAAATTTACCAGCAATATTGCAAAATATTGATTTGTAATATATCTATGGAGCAGGCGCGTTGTGCTCCTGATCTGTGGCAAGAGCTCCTCCTCCACCCACAGGTGTTCCTTACCTCCCTCAGCTCTCCCGGCGTCTGTGGCTCCTCCTCCACCCACAGGTGTCCCTTACCTCCCTCAGCTCTCCCGGCGTCTGTGGCTCCTCCTCCACCCACAGGTGTCCCTTACCTCCCTCAGCTCTCCCGGCGTCTGTGGCTCCTCCTCCACCCACAGGTGTCCCTTACCTCCCTCAGCTCTCCCGGCGTCTGTGGCTCCTCCTCCACCCACAGGTGTCCCTTACCTCCCTCAGCTCTCCCGGCGTCTGTGGCTCCTCCTCCACCCACAGGTATCCCTTACCTCCCTCAGCGTCTGTGGCTCCTCCTCCACCCACAGGTGTCCCTTACCTCCCTCAGCTTCCCGTCCTGCTCCACACCTGTCCTGCTCCACACCCGTGCTGCTCCACACCCGTCCTGCTCCACACCCGTCCTGCTCCACACCCGTCCTGCTCCACACCCGTCCTGCTCCACACCCGTCCTACTCCACACCCGTCCTGCTCCACACCCGTCCTGCTCCACACCCGTCCTACTCCACACCCGTCCTGCTCCACACCCGTCCTGCTCCACACCCGTCCTGCTCCACACCCGTCCTGCTCCACACCCGTGCTGCTCCACACCCGTCCTGCTCCACACCCGTCCTGCTCCACACCCGTGCTGCTCCACACCCGTCCTGCTCCACACCCGTCCTGCTCCACACCCGTCCTAAGCTTGACCCACACGGTCTCCTCTCCTGCTCCTCATTAATAAGGAGCCGTCTCCTCTTTGTTCCTCTCTCTTTGTCTCCTCGTTCTTGACAAACGACCTGACACTCTCCTCCCGTCCTTCCATTATTGCCCTCACCTCCACACCCCTCTCCTCTCCTCCGTTCTTCCTCGCTTATATCTCCTCCCCTCTCCTCTCCCTCAGCCCTCTCTTCTTCTCTCTCTCTCAGTTCTCTCTTCTTCTCCTGTCTCCCTCGAACCTTGTACTCACCTAGTTGTACTCACCTAGTTGTACTCCCCTAGTTGTACTCGCCTAGTTGTACTCGCCTAGTTGTACTCGCCTAGTTGTACTCGCCTAGTTGTACTCGCCTAGTTGTACTCGCCTAGTTGTACTCGCCTAGTTGTACTCGCCTAGTTGTACTCGCCTAGTTGTACTCGCCTAGTTGTACTCGCCTAGTTGTACTCGCCTAGTTGTACTCGCCTAGTTGTACTCGCCTAGTTGTACTCGCCTAGTTGTACTCGCCTAGTTGTACTCACCTAGTTGTACTCACCTAGTTGTGTTTGCGGGGGTTGAGCTCTGACTCTTTGGGCTCGTCTCTCAACTATCTATCAATCAACTGGTTTTTGTTTTACTTTCTTTTATTCCACACACACACACAGAAAGCAGCCCGTAACAGCTGTCTAACTCCCAGGTTCCTATTTACTGCTAGGTGAACAGGTGCATCAGGGTGAAAGAAACTCTGCCCCCGACTGTTATTGTTGTTACTGGTGGTAATAATAATAATAATAATATAATAATAATAATTTTTATTTAGGCAAAGGTACATACATAAAGAGATTTTACAAAGTTTGTTGGCTTTATAGATAAGAGCTAGTACATACAATGCCTAAAGCCACTATTACGCAAAGCGTTTCGGGCAGTAACTGTATTCACCTAGTTGTGCTTGCGGGGGTTGAGCTCGATCTGCTCTTTCGGCTCGCCTCGCAACTGTCAATCAATCAACTGTAACTAACTACTAACTTCCTCCCCCCCCCCCCCACACACCCAGGAAGCAGCTCCGTAACCGCTGTCTAACTTCCAGGTACCTATTTACTGCCAGGTAACAGGGGCATCAGATGAAAGAAACTTTGCCCATTTGTTTCTGCCTGGTCTGGGAATCAAACCCGGGCCACTGAATTACGTGTTCTGCGCGCTGTCCGCTCAGCTACCAGAGCCCTATATGCCTCTATGCCTCCCTGGCTGTTGTTAAGAGTCAGTCTCCACCACATCACTGCCTAATACATTCCACCTGTTAACTACTCTGACACTGAAAAAGTTCCTTCTAACGTCCCTGTGGCTCATGTGGGTACTCAGTTTCCACCTGTGTCCCCTTGTCCGTGTCCCACCCGTGTTAAACAGTTTATCTTTATCTACCCTGTCAATTCCTCTGAGAATTTTGTAGGTAGTGATCATGTCTCCCCTTACTCTTCTCTCTTCTAGTGTCGAGGTGCATTTCTCGCAGCCTTTCTTCGTAACTCATGTCTCATAATTCTGGGACTATCCTAGTGGCATATTTCTGAACTTTTTCAAGCTTTGCCTTGTGCTTGACAAGGTACGGGCTCCATGCTGGGGCCGCATACTCCAGAATTCGTTTTACATATGTGGTATACAGGGTTCTGAATGATTCCTTACACAGGTTCCTGAAGGCTGTTCTGGTGTTAGCCAGCCTCGCATACGCCGCAGATGTTATTCTTTTTTTGACGTGGGCTTCAGGAGACAGGGTTGGTGTGATATCAATTCCTAGATCCTTCTCTCTGTCCGTTTCATGAAGGACTTCATCTTCCATTCTGTATCTTGTGTCTGGCCTCATGTTTCCACTGCCTAGTTTCATTACCTTACATTTACTCGGGTTGAACTTTAGTAGCCATTTATTGGACCATTCATGCAGTCTGTCTAGGCCATCTTGTAGTCTTACTGTCTCCATACTGTCTTCCTCCGTCTTAATCTTCCTCATAATTTTTGCATCATCAGCAAACAGTGAGAGGAATGATTCTGTTATTTCTATAGTTTCTCCACGCCCTTTTACTTTGCTGCTCAGCTAGCCTACATCTCTGATTAAACCATGGGTTTCTCATCTGCATTTCGTTGTTTTCCTTTTGGACTGGGACAAACTTGTCTGCTGCCTCCTTACACTTCTGCGTGATGTAGTCCATCATGTCTTGGGCCGTCTTGCCTCTGAGCTCTGTTTCCCATGTTATATCTGTTAGGAATTTCCTTATCTCATAGTTTCCCTTTCGGAACGCCAGCCTTTTGTTTTCAGTTCCCCTCCTCGAGTTCCTTCACCCTTCTTCAACCGGATACTCAAACGTCAGTACACTGTGGTCGCTCATTCCTACCGAGGCCTCGAAACCGATATCCCTTATGTTGGAGTCATTCAGAGTGAAGACTAGGTCAAGTCTCGCTGGTTCATCGTTTACTCTTTTTCTTGTGTGTTCCCTGACGTGCTGGCTTAAGAAGTTTTTTGTCGCCACTTCTAGTAGTTTAGCTCTCCGTGTATCCTCACCTCCATGCCGTTCCTTGTTCTCCCAGGCTATCCTTCCATGGTTGAAGGGAGAGGCTTGGGGGGGGGGGGGGGAGTTGGGGAGGCTTGGGGGAGGGGTACAGGGCAAGGGAGGGCTTGGGGGGATGAGGGGTAGGGGGGGCCTGGGGGAGCAGAAGAGGAGGGATGGTTGGGGGGGGGGGAGGAAGAGCTGAGGGGAGTGGGGGAGAATGGAGTGCTTAGGGGAGTGGGGGAGAATGGAGTGCTTGGTGGTGGGGGAGAACAGAGGGCTTGGTGGTGGGGGAGACGGGAGGGCATGGGGGAGAAGGAAGGGCTTGGGGGGTTGGGGAGAAGGTAGGTCCTGGGGAGGGGTTTAAGTGAGGGGAGGATGCCTAGGTGGGCACTTAATGGGGGACTGGCAGGAGTTGGGGCAGGTAGGATGTCTATTGGGTGGAAGGTGGGGGTGGTGCTCCTCTCTCTGTGGCTGTTAAACTGCTTGAACTGTTGAACATGTGTGTGTGTACTCACCTAGTTGTACTCATCTAATTGTGCTTGCGGGGGTTGAGCTCTGGCTCTTTGGTCCCACTTCTCAACCGTCAATCAACAGGTGTACAGATTCCTAAGCCTACTGGGCTCTATCATATCTATACTTGTAGCTGTGTATGTAGTCAGCCTCCATCACATCTCTGCCTAATGCATTCCATCTGTTAACTACTCTGGCACTGAAAAAGTTCTTTCTAATGTCCCTGTGGCTCATTTGTGTACTCAGTCTCCACCTCCTGTGGAGATTTGTGTACTCAGTCTCCACCTCCACCACCTCAGTCTTGTGTACATCAGTCTCCACTCAGTTTTGCTTGTGGAGGGTTTCCCACTCCCCTCTGGGATTGTAGGGTTCAGGGTTATGCTTCCCTGACTTCTTTCTTTCTCCCTGCACTACCTCTTTGCATCTGCTGCCCTCATTCTCTCGTCCCTTGTCATATCCCTCTGCTGGAATACTTTTTGGAACTTTGGCACATTTGCTAGTCTGCTCTTCTTTGCTAACAGTTCCTCTTCTGTGTTCTCGCTCATGAACACCAAATTTATCAATCGGCCTCTGTCCTTGTTCTACTGTCCAAGCCTGAAAACCTTTTCGATATTCTG